AACTATGAAAACAATTTTTTTTACATTTTCCGGGAAATTTTTAATATTTGGAAATTTTTTGTCTCATAATTTCGATATAATTATGTAAATTAAATATTCTTTGAAATTCGGAAATATTTTTCTGAATTTTCAGTAAATAAAACATTAAATATTGAAAAGCTAATAATACGAAAATAATTTATTCTAAAATTTAGAAGAATTTTTGTAATAATCCCATCTAATTATTGACATAATTAAAAAATTAAATTAAGTTTAAAAAAGTATATGGAAAGCATACTTTAATAAACTAAGTATTTTGTTTTAATACAGCTTTAATTATATTTTTGTTAAAAATTTGCTTACAATATTTTTATTAAAAATTTATTTCTAAAATTTTTATCAAAATTCATTTTCATTCGCAGTTAAAACGAACTCAAATTTAAACCAAAATGCATTGCAGCTCCAATAATCCAATAAAACAAAATGTTCACTACTGGGCTTACATGGCGTATACGCAACCACTCACAGAATAACTTGCTCACATGCAATAATTTTCTAAATTTTTGTGAAAAATCCACTCAACCGTAATACTACTAAACGCTTACTGTTGTATCGTTTTAATATCCGCCTGAAGGGTATTTACATAACAATAGTTAGGCACTCGTAGGGCTATTACAATGACAACAAATTGCATTTGGAAGCAGTTAAAGCACTACATATGGGAAAAGTTCTCGTAAAAATGACAAAGTTTTGCATGCAAGCGTGTATATATATATGGGTGTGTGCGTGTGTCTGGCTAGATTACACATTGTATAAGCTTATTGGTGTGCTTGTACGCTTTATCTGCCCGCATAAATAAATTCAGTACCCCGTTTGTTTGCACAACTCTTAGGACTTACTTTGTTGGAAAGTTGCATAGAACATAGACACACACACACACAAACAAGACTTGTATTTTTATATAAACCAGCATATACCTCAATCAATATGCGTAAGGGTGTACTAGCTTGCTTACAAACTTTTTGTCCGGCACACTTTGTGCGTTGCATGTCAGCATACATACACACAAACAAATATGAATACGTGTGTTAGTGCGCCCATTTGTATGCAGAGTAGTTAGCTCGATTGTGCACATGAAGTCAATGACGTCGGCCTTATCTATCGCAGCAACTAAAACCAGTTGAATATTGTCCTGCCACAATGGCAAAATAAATAGACTCACACACACACACATGTGTATATTGACGTGCGCTTACACCATGCAAATATATACACATGCTCTTACATAAACGTTAAACATAAAGGACAACAATTGTAAATTGTAAATATGCAGTTTAATGAAAATAAATTGAAAAAATCTGCAACGGTCATTTGCACTGGCATTTCAATAAATATTGGCAAATAAATAAAAGCGGACATGCCTGGCAGGTGAAATAAGCACAAAGTGTGCGCCACGCACACACATACACAGGCATGCAGAAATGTGGAATGCATTTGTTTGCGCTGTGCAAGCATGCATTTGTGTTAGTTGTTGCAACACAAGCACACACAATTATTGGCACTTGCTCACAAACACACATGCATATATTGAGACTTTTGCCCATTTTGGTAGGCAAATGCATAAATTTGCATTTTTTATTGTAAATCATGACTCGCTATTTTGCATTTAATACAAATCTCTAGCCTTAATGTATTTTGCAGAATTTTTTCAGCAGCTTTTTTTGTAAATCTCTTCGTATAAATTTTCTATGCAATCAATTTAAAGCAATATATTTGGATTTATTTTTCAGAGTAATAGTAAGAAGAATTTTTAAAAAATATAAAAACAATAATGATCTCAGAACTT